GTGCAGTGGCATCATCATAGCTCACTGTAACCTCCAACTCCTGGGCCCAGGCAATCCTCCTGCCTCAGCCTCCAGAGTGGCTGGGACTACAAGCATGCACCACCATGCCTGGCTAATTTTTCTATTTTTTGTAGAGACAGGGTCTTACTTAGGATGGTCTCGATCTCCTCTCAATCCCAGAGTGTTAAAATTATAGGCATGAGCCACCTTGCCCGGCCCCCCCAAGCATTTCTTAACCATCAGCTATGCAGGATTAAATGTCAGTATTCAGAGAAATGTTTGAGATCACCTTAAAATAGTTTATACAGCTTGAGCAACTGGCCAAAAATTCAAGAAAGGTATGACCTCTAGACTCTTATATGATGGAGGCTGGGAACCCAAATCTTGCTCTGGTTTTTGCTACTGACTTCCTGCATTTATTCTATTTATCTATACAAGCTAATGAACAGGGCACTTCAGAGAAAGGTCCAACTGCCCACTTCAAAGTCCACTGAAATCAAAGGTAAAAAGGACTATAATTTTATAATATTTTGAAATTAATTATCCTTTCACTAAATTCACTTTTAGAGTGAAACAAATGTTCCCTGGTGTAGACTTTCAACACTTGGACCACATTTATTATTTTAGAGATGTATTGATAAACCCCACAATTAATGCTTGATGAGTATCATTTAGTAGCCACAAGCTTATTTTCCAGAATATGGCTATTTTCAAAAAGTTACACCTTCTGGTGCTTAGTCAGGTGTTTTATTGTTCCTATTTGAGCAAATAATAAGATGAGAAAACTACTATATTTCATAATAAATTTCCATACCATATTACTTCTCCTAGTTCTCAGAAACTCACCAAAACACATGAGAGAAAAGCAATGAAGTGATCCAGAAACAATAGCCTGATTCAGTTATGGTCATAATTAATCCATCTGCAAAAACAATAGCTATATCTACTCAAGTGAATGTATATCTGACTTTACACCATGGGGAAAAATAAACCTAACTTGCTAAGACATGCCTCTACCGTGCCACTGCCCTACCTACCACCTTAAAGTAAGGCAAAAAAGCCATGCGGAGTCTGAACCTCTACCCTATGGACACATCTCAGTCTTCACTGAGGTCATTAATATATTAAAAACACTGATGAAGGGCTATTTGTTGGGTAAAGTCATTTTTCCCTTGACATTTATTATCAGTAGAAAAGTTTTTCTGTTTTAATACCCACATTCTGGCATATAATTACTGTAATAAAGTCTACTTCTTCACTCTGGGTGACTGCTGCCAGTATTATGAAATCATGGCAATGGTTGTAAAAATAAGGGAGGTCACAACCCTTCCACACACACACACACCCACTCTGCAGCTGATATTAAATAGCTTTGGTGGGAAAATGCAGACCTTTAAACTTTCTCTACCAAACTCAATGCATGCTGTATCTAACTTCTTCTTTAAAACAATTTGGGTTGTAAGAATTCAAAAACTGCATATGGCCATGGAAAAAAAAAGAAGAAGGAGCTTATACTTAATTAGCTACTAAGTCCAACTTGGACGAAGCACAATAACAACCATTTCTTTGTGCTAACTATTTTTAATGATATGCATTACATGCATTGGCCTGTCTACTGCCCAGACTGTTCCAGCATCAATCCTGCTTTAGTCTTATGCTTTTGGCAAAGGACAGCATTTGAGAAAGTCTCCATTTTGATGTTTTGTCACTTTAGGGATGCACATAGGGATAACTCCTATGCGCATGAATTCCCTCTGAACTTTGCACTACCATGGTTTCATAACCACAAGACAATCAATGTCTAAGCACACCAGATGCTATAAAAATATTCTCCTTACAACTCAAAGAGTACTCAATATTTTGATTCATCCTCTCTGGGCTTAAACTGCTCAAAAATATTTTAATCCAATTGCTTTCAGCTATTCTATTACATAACTGTTGGATACAATTTTTTGTTTCCAACCAAGACCCAAGTCAAGCTAATTTAAGATCATAAAAAGGACAGATAGGCCAAAGAGGGAATTTCTTGTGAATTTTTCTAATCTTCTAGTTCTTTCTATAAATAGAATTTCCTAAGAGAGGGTATAAGGAAATATCTATTTTAAAAATAGTATCTTGGGTTTCCACATTAAAATAATCCTGACTACTCAGGATTATGCTTTTTGTGGGTCATAAGGTCAAGATTTCTTCTTGCCCTCAGAATGGCAAATCCATTGTCCTCCAAAGCAACACAGTGAAACCGGAAGCAATACAGAAATGTTGGAGAACAAGATGTCTAAGGTCCATAAGAAAGCACCAACAGCACAGTATGGAGAAAACCAAGCCCTGAGAACATCACCCCTGCCCTGAACAGAGCAGCTGTGCTGTCATCTCTTTTATTTCTTGGCCTTATGCATCAGGTTTTGGTTTAGGAAGGAAAAGAGCCACTATTACCACTTTGGAAAGCAGTTTGAGGTTTGCAAACCCTGCAACCAGCAATTTCACTCCTAGATCTGTGCCCTGGAGTAATTTGTACATATGTGCCCCAGAATACACGTATATGAATGTTCACATCACTGTTGTCCATCCATAATGGCTCCAAACCAGAAGCAACCCAAATGTCCACCCATTATATAATGGATCAATACACTGTGGTGAATTCCTACAATAGAAAAATATACACATGGAAAATTAATAAACCAGAGGTTTGTGCCACAACATGGATGGATCTTGCAAACACAACATTGGAAGAAGAAAGCAAGATATGAAATAAAACATAGAATTATTTCATTTATATAAAGTTGAAAAACAGATAATACTGATCTATATTGTTTAAGATGCACATATATGTAATAAAACCAGGCATAAAAGCAAGGAAATAATTGTTAGAAAAGTCTGAAGGATATTTTCTTTGGAGGTGGGGGTGGGAATTGAGAAAAGGTTGCAATCTAGACTCAGGATGGGAAGCAAGGGAAGCATCTGGGTGCTGGCAATGTTTTGTTTCTCATCCTTTAAAATCTTTCCATGTGAATGTTCTTTGATTTCACAATTGCAAAAATAAACAAAAATAAACAAAAATAAACAAACAAACAAAAAAGAACCACTTCTGAAAAAGAAAAGTTTGAGAAATCACTACTTCAATCCAGCTTTTCCATGTTAAATGAGAGGCTAGGGAGATTAAGTCAATTGCCCATTTCTTCTTTGCCCTGGTATGTGGCTCCTGGGTATGGCACTTGGTCACAGAGCTTCTCCTCTTTTCAGAATGGGGGAACCTGGGGAGGCCAGGCAGAGGGAAGTTCTGGAAACAATATCCTTCCCAATATTCCACTCTGCTGGTTCCCCAAGCACTGTTCCCAGCCTAGGCTCTGAGCTTTTCCTTTCTCTCCTTTCAAGGTAAGGATTTTTCAACTTGGACAGGAGTATTAGAGACTTCTTAGGGGGTCACAGGTTTGTCATTGTCCCATTAGGCTCTTCAGTACAGTGTGCAAACAACCTCTCTCTCTTGGCCAGCCCCAGTGTCTCTCAGTGGGGCCACACAGGACAGATACATACACTGTACAGTGTCCATACATAGATACATATCCCACTTGCACCTTGCCTAGATTCCATGTGTACCTGACTTGTCAGTTCTATGCAGACAATATGTAATATATAACCTACACCCTAAAACCTATATACTTTGCATTTTACAGATGTTTAATACTAAAATACTAACAACTCATATTAAACTCGGTACTTCTGCAAGCACTTTTCAATCACCTTTCCAATAAACAATAGAAAGTTGTAGGGGAAGCTATAGACTTGAACTTTGGCCACTGGAAGGATCTCTTGCTGAACTCCTACTCCTTGAGCTGCCCAGCATATATTCTTTTATAATATGGATTTTAAAATATTTTTATTATATCCTTCTTTTTTAAAAAAAAAATCAGTTGCTAGGAAAACATGTGGCCAAAACTTTGTTCAGAAGGTGAAATTGAGCATTAAGGAATTCCACATGAGACATTTGGGGAAGGCATCACATATATATGTGAATAATAACATGATTTTCAAAGTTGATACAGGTATCTATTTACTAGATTTCTCCAAGTTACTAGCATTCTTGGATTTTGAGCATCTAAAAGAAATAGAAAAAGAAAAAGAAAATCCAAAAGACAAAACCTAGAGAAGTAAATGAAAGTGTAACAGCAAAAAGTCAGAAGTGCTGGTAATTGTGTTTGTTTGTCGCAGTTACACAAGCAAGAAATTGCAGAGCAGAGCTTCACTTTACAACAGAAATCCCTACAGAGGCCCCTGCAAGGATCCCCAACCACAGCGTGTGTCCTACCTGTCAGAGCAATATGCATTACAGTTTATAAATGTGCAGGACAATAAAAGAATCGGTGTCATTCCCCAGGTGTTCAGGGTAATGGAATTTAAGCTGCCTCCCAGTATTCACACCATGGCCTGAGGCATGATGGCTTGATTACAAAAATCCATCAAAAAAATCTTCATTCCAGGATCAGAAATTTCACACTTGATGAGGTAAAGGTAGAAAAGTGAAGCTATGTTCCATAAGTGAGAAATTCCAAGATAAGTCTAAAAATAGAATTGCAAAGGGAACTCAAAAACCAAGGTAGCCCACAACGCCAAACAGAGTTAAAGTCCAGAAGAAGAGAGTGTATAAAAATGCAAGCAGCAAAAGAAAAACACTATGGATGAAAATCCAAATACAGGAATGGAGTTCTTTAGTCCCACCAACAACTTCTCCCCAAATAAACTTGTTATCGTGCTCATAGAAGCCCACACGTATGTAGGAGTTCTCCAGCCATGAATAAATAAACAAGAAAGAAGTGCCATTTCAATAAGAGCTGGCTATGGGGAAAAATATTTCTGTCAAAAGAACAACATTATTTCCAATCTCCCGCCTTATCTGTAGAAGGCTAATGTAACCAAAAACATCTGAAAAAGCCCAAATCCCCTATGTGTCATGTGGGCATGAGACCAGTACCAGATAAAACAAAACAAGAGGGGTGATTATTTACCTTTCTCTTCAAAGCGACTCCAAGCACAGGATTTGATTTGCACCTTCAATAGGATGAACTCCTCTAGTTGAAATTCCAGACCAAAAATCATTATCAGGGTCTTTGCTCTCTGGTGCTCTTGTCTGTGCCTTGCTGTGCACTACCCGTCCTTCATGGCCTACTCAAGCCCAGCAGCGCACACTGAGACTTCCCTGAGCGTGGACTCCTAGGCCGCTAGCTGTGAGGGTTGCTCATTCTCATCCAGTGCACAGAGCTCCGCTTAGGGCTTAACTGTTCCCTGGGAGTGCGTGGTCTGTTTCTTCAACCAGATCCTAAGGTCAGGGAAGACAGAGACCTTTCTTGTACTTTCTTATACACGCTCAGCTCACAGTGGATACTCAGACCTGCTGACCTGCTATGCTGTGTGCTTTCCCGTTCATAGCTCTGGATCGTACCAGAAATAAAAGTCCTTACAGCATCAAGGCACCACCACCATGGGGGCTGCAGCTTCCCCTGCTTCTCTTGCTTCAGTGTCTTCTCCTTCTCTGCTTTGTTTAGAAAAACAATGGACAGAAACTAAAAACACCTGCAGGTCAGTGAGTGTCCATTTAGTGCAAAACGGGGGCTCTAAGTGCTAGGATACAGAGAGTCCAATAGTACTGTTGGTTCTGCTATAATGTGATAGATAGCAGATGCCTAAGAATAACCTGTTTTATCTTATCAAAAATTGTGACATTAAATTAGTTGTTTTAGAGGAAAGGGAAGGTGATTGGAGTTGGGATTAGAGGGTTTCACACATGATAACCAACATTAGAGGAATTTCATAATTATTATATATGCAATGATCATAAGTTAAAATGTACAAATCCATTGATCAAAATTAACAAAACAAACCCAAGTATTTCAATCCACACACGTAGTAATCTCACTGCCTTCTCCATCCCCTTTGGCTTTTATTTTGTGATTCTGTTTATTGAACTCCCAATCTTAAACCAGAATGACAGAATATAAGCCAAGTTTCGGAGCAGCTCACCAGGGAAACACACAACAGCATCTTGCCGGGTTGTGCAAAGCCCATACTCTTCTCTTCCTCCTTGGAGTCCCAGATCCTAAGCAAGCCACTATAACCAAGAGAAGCTGGATAGTGCAAAAATGCTCCTTAATTAACAGAATGCCTTATATTTATTTTCCATTGTGAAAACACCTCATATAGGAAAAATGGCTGGACTCTAGTCCAAAATTAAATTTGGACTTTGCACATCAATTTCTGGCTTCCTGGGGCCACATAGTGATGTTTCCATAAAGAGATGATTATGGCCACAGAGACATTAGCCTTGCCCTTTTCCAACCGGCCCCTCTAGATTCAGTTCCCCTACCACCAAAGTGCAGGAAAATGGTTATTACATAATTTAAAAAAAACATAAAACTTAGGAGAAAAGGACAGGTGCAGTTCCTCAAGGTAACAGGCCCCTCTCCAGAACAAGCATGATTCTGGAGGTGAAACTGAAGGAGCTTATGGCCATACCTTCATGGCAGCCCCTCATGTCACATGGCTCATGGGGTTTCTTAAAGGAATGTCATCAACAGGGAAAAGTGGCAGGTTCCCAGAAAAGGTGAGAATGGAAATTTAGTAAAAAAAATATATATACATACACACACTCACACACACACATATACTCACACACACAAGTCATCTGGTTCATCTTCTATGGAATCTACCAAGTCCATCCCAGATGAGATGAAAAGTCTTACTTTCTTGTCATCAATCAAGGCCACTAATCCCTTCCAGCACTGACATATTGGTCTGGGCTGATTTAGGATTTTGACTAAAAAGCCTACACAGCAGCTTTTCTGATTGACTCATTCTAAGTTATTCTTAGGCCCTGGGAAAGTCAAACCTGTTGTATTACTACCATGATGCTAAGTGCTCTGTCTGGATGTTACAGTGCACACATACAGTCCCCACATATTTCCATGAAGCTTTCAGTAGAAGCACCATTTCACAGATGAGAAAACCAAAGTGTGGAGAGGTTAAATATTGCTATGTTCTGAATCTTTGTGTCCCCCTAAAATTCATATCTCAGAACCTAATATTCAGTGTGATGGTATTAAGAGGTGGGGACTTTGGGAGAGTGATTAAGTCATGTAGGCTCCACCCTCACAAATGGATTAGTGCCCCTATAAGAGGCTCCAGGGAACACCTTGGCCCCCTCTGCCACGTGAAGACACAATAAGAAAGCACCATCATTGGAGTAGAAGAGTGAGCCCTCACCAGACACCAAATCTGCGGGAGGCTTGATCTTGGACTTTCCAGCCTCAAGAACGGTGAACAATAAATTTCTGTTGTTTATAAATTATCTAGTCTAAGGTGTTTTGTTATAGCAGCCCAAATAGACTAAGAAAAGTATCATATTCAAGAACATGTGCCTAATAAACTTGGTGAAATGAGGGTTCTAACCTAGGCTGTCTGGTAGAGGCCATGGGCCATATTCCACACTATCTTTCCCTTTATGAGTCACAGTAGTAGAAAGGATGATTAGTGATTTTCCAGTCAATCCTATATAGGGGACACATTCTGTGCCCATGTTACACCCCCTCAGCCCACCTCTGATCTCAGCCACAGTTTTAGCAGACAGTTTATAAATCTCAGTCAATTTTCTGCTTTCTTCCTTAGGACCTCCTAAGGTTGCAGGAGCCCACAAACCTCATGTTCAAACCAGCTTGGAAGTTCTCAACCAACGAGGCATGAGAAGTGACTGAGAAAGGCCCCAGCCTCCAGCAGACCAACAGACAATCCTTGGGACAGTCCATGTGCTTCTCAGAACAACAGTGTAACTGAGCTCATTGTCCACACCATCAGCCTTGATAACATACCCTAATAATTGGCTTTTTCTCCTTTCTGCCACACTCTCCCCTTCCTTCACTCCTGCTTCTTTGGTTCAACTCCCAAATATACTACTTGCACCTGAGATCTTCACTCAGGCTTGGTTTTAAGGAACCAAACTGAGACATCCTGCCTTTTCGGCTCTACGAACTAAATAGTTTCTGTGGCTTCTTCCTAACCTATTATTCAGAGACTTTTACATCACATACAAATTTTCAACAATCTTCCACTCAGTTAGCCCTGAACAAAGTTCATCAAGGCATATGTTCCAGAATGAGCTGCTTCCAGTATAGAATGTAGAAATGCAAATGTAGGACAATTTATCTAAAGGTTCCAGGGTGTGAGTAGCTGGATCTGTATGTCCACCATGATTTGCAAGGAAGTGGCTGTTCATCTGGGAAGGCTTGTTCTGCTCACTTGTCTGTACAGAGGCATAATTCCATATTAAATTATCCAGAAAGACAGTTCTGGTCCTCATATTATCATTCGGATGTGTCTATATCCAGTCCAGAGAAGTCTTGAAGCACAATTGGCAGTTTCACTTCATCCAAGTAAAATTTTCTAAGGCCAACGTCTTTCTGATAATATGACCCTATAGGCATTCTTCGTATGTTTAAAGAAGGGCTGGATGGGGACAGGATGAGAAGAGACACAAGGTTCGTGTCTAGTCCAACCCTATCTTTTCACAGATTGAAAAAAAAAAAAGTGAATTGCTCAGAGAATTGTCGAGTCATGCACCATGCCCCCAGTGAGTAAGAACTGGGATAGCCTCCGCATCCCCGTTCTGTGCCACCTCTCCCAGGAAGAACTGATTGCTGACAATCAATCAATATGGTAAAATGCCTTTTGCAGGTATCAGTAAGACTGCCACCCTGCTTGTGTGAACAGGAATGAAAAAGTTATAGTCCCTCGGAAATACACCATGCAGTCAGCAGTATTGGGGTTCTTGTGGACTACTGTTTCACCATTAGGTGAAAAAGCAATATGCCAATTCATTAATTTAGAGAAGCTATGTATTTCTATTTAAGAACTGTCAGATTGCTGTTTTTAATTTTGCATTTCTCCAAATATTTTATTTTTCATTATGTGCAATGCCCAAAATGTATTATACATCCCCTATGTCATAGGTACAATTATCATGCCCTTTAACCCCTATGGATGGATAAAGTCAGAGTGGTAAGTTAACATCCAAGAAAAATAACAAAATTCGTGTTCACCATTTCTCACATAAAGACTGAAAACATTTTCTTTAGAGGTCTGTGACTTTCCGGGTAGTGTTATTTTGGCTTAAGATCAATTTTCAGGGCACTAATAATCAGGAATGCTACTTATTCTTTTATTTGTCTTTTAACTGTGGCAAAATATACATAACATAAAATTTACCATCTTAACTATTTTAACTGTATAGTTCAATAGTGTTAGGTATATTCACATTGTTGTGCAATGAATCTCCAAAATTTTTCCATCTTGTAAAACTGAAACTCTATACCTATTAAACAACTCCCCATTTCTCCCTTCCCCTAGCTCTTGGCAATCACCATTCTACTTTGTTTCTACAACTAAGTACTCTAGGTTCCTCATGTAAGTGAACTCATACAGTATTTGTCTTTTTGTAACTGGCTTATTTCATTTGGCATAATGTTCTCAAGGTTCATCCATGTAATAACTTGTGCTAGAATTTCCTTCCTTTTTAAGGCTGAATAATATTCCAATGTAGGTAGATACCACATTTTGTTTATTCATTCATCAATCCATAGACATTTTGAGTTGCTTCCACCTCTTGTCTAATGTAAATGATGTTGCTACAAACATAGGTGCTCTAGCCCATTGCTTTTAATTAAAATAAATTGGTTAAATTCTATAGCATTCCTTCTCTTACTCTTACATTTCTGTTTTCAAGAAAATCTAACTTAAAATCCATCTTATTCAGTTATCCACCATTGGAATAAACTTACTGTGTTGGCCAAACAGTCATGACCAGGTATAGACATTCATCTCACAGCACAGATGAAAAGGCAATTGGCCTAGGAGGAAATAGGCCCAGTAGAGGGCTGGCCTTGCAAAACTTATCTTATGAAGTGGTGACAAAGTTCTTCTTTTTATTTCAAAAAATGTAGTGGGTAAAAGTGTTTTTTATTTATGATCATATATATCCCTTGTTTAGCTCCACTTATAAGTGAGAACATGTGATATCTGTTTTTCCACTCCTGAGATACTTCACTTAGGATAATGGTCTCCAGTTCCATCCAAGTTGCTTTAAAAGATTATTTCATTCCTTTTTAGGGCTGAGTAGTACTCCATGTTATATAGATACCACATTTTCTCTATACATTCATCAATTGATGGGCACTTAGGTTGAGTCCATATCTTTGTAATTGTGAGTTGTGCTGTGATTAACAGTCTGGTGCAGGTGTCTTTTTTGTAAAATGACTTCTTTTCCCTTGGGTAGATACTCAGTTGTGGGATTGAATGGTAGGTCTACTTTTAGTTCTTTGAGGAATCTCCATACTGCTTTCCATGTTGGTTGTACAGGTTTACATTCCCACCAACAGTGTATAAGCAGACCCTTTCACTGCAACCATGCCAACATCTATTGTTTTTTGACTTTTTAATAATGGCAACTCTGACAGGGGTAAGGTGATATCTCACTGTGGTTTTAATTTGCATTTCCCTGATAATTAGTGATGTTGAACATTTTGTCATATCTTTGTTGGCCATTTGTATATTTTCTTTGGAAAAGACTCTATTCTTGTCTTTTGCCCACTTTTTCATGGGGTTGTTCATTTTTTTCTTGCTGATTTGTTTGAGTTCTTTGTAGATTCTGGATATTAGCCCTTTGTTGAATGTATTGTTTGGAAATATTTTCTCCCATTCTGTAGGTTGTCTATTTACTCTTTTGATTATTTCCTTTGCTGTGCAG